TATCTTAGTATCTTCTTACTTAGCACTTCTTGCTTTTTTTCTTTGACTGAGACTGATTTCTTACCGTAAAATTGTCATTGTACTTGAAGAAGGCTAGTGTGGCCAGCCGAAAGTACACCAAATTTAAAACCATCCTTTGGCGTTGTATCGGTCTCTACTTTTATATATTCTTCATTTTCTATTAGATTAGATCACTTTTGATCCAACGTAGAGTTGCAGAGGACACTTGCAAATCACAATTCGGGGAATCCCCTGTAGAACCATAAAATGAGAGATTTATCTAGATTTCGTGCAAGTTTTCAGCTGCCGTAATTATTTTTGCCTATTACACTGTAATGCGACCTGGATGGGGTTAACTGATGTGACACAGTTTGTATGGACTGTATGATCTTTTATAAAAGAGAGAAAAATTGAAAAAAGAAATTTTAACAAGACCTAAGAAATTTTCGGTTGCATGGTTTGCTTGTCAAAATTTTAACAATTTCCGGATAGTCTGAAACCCTTCCCGGGCCAGGAAATATGATACATATGTCACCGTTTCGAAATTTTCGGAATTTTTTTGTTGAATGGAAAGTGCAGCAGGAGAGGTTTTAGGTCTTTAGTTATTAATAACAGCCACTTAACTGACAACTAACAAATGGCCGAAAATTTTAACCGACAACTGACAAATACTGTAGACAAAATTTTAACCTATATACCTGAGATGACGTTTGCATCCCATCCAGACCTTCATGATATATAATGGATGTTATCACGGTGCTTATTCTTTCCAATAAGAGCCATGAAAGTAGATATCATATCAAAAAGTCAGCTAACAAAATATCATGTCAAAATATCAAGATATAATACATTTATCAAAGTATATATATTTTGATATCAGCTAGTTGATATTCTGTACTGATTCCCGCACCTTGGTTAGGTACTCACCAGTTGGATGTAGTTTGCTTGTACAGATTTGGAGGTCAGAATCACATTCAACACTCCTGAGGTCGTCGAGGTAACCCTTACGCGAAGAATTCGCAAAATCATGAT